GGGTATTGTGGCACTCTATATCTTGGGGGAGCGTCCTGTAACCCCCATACTCTTTATTTTTTGTAATTGTGATCTCACATAGAAAGCAGGTCTTGTAAGGTATCCGGGGAAAGGTTATGATCTGCTGAGAGTCATTTCTCTATCCATAGATGTGTATCTTTAGTGCATGTGAAGTTATGAGATTGTGTTGTAGGGCTGTCACTAAAACATGCTGTAAATTGGGGAATTAGCCACGTATTCGCTCCCCAGAGGCAACAGCAAGGAAAGTAACCAGCGTCCGGGCGGGGTGTGAAACAGCCCATCACCAGCCATTGTCCAGCCAGGGAGCTACAACGCAATGACTCACCTGCACGAGGCCCCACCAGGGGAATTGCTCAACCTGGCCTGGGGACTCAGCAATGCCCCCAGACAGGCCTGGCCTTGTGTGTCCCAAGCCCATGGACTGAGGGTATGAAACAGACACGGGCCCCACGCTGGGCCTTTCTCCTCCCCCCACCTACGCTGCAAGCAACAAGGACACTCTGAAGACCCCAACTGAGGGGGCTGGGCCAGGTTTCAAGGGTGAAATCTGTGTACTAGGAACTGCAATATCCAGGGGGGGAGAAAAGCTACTTAGCCTAGATGTTGTCCAGTCTAATAGGGTTGAGAGGTTAGACTGCAGGCTTATGTTTTATTTCTGTTGGTAACTAACTCTTTTTGCCTGTTACTGACTATCACTTAAAATCTATCTTTTGTAGTCAATACACTTGTTTAACTGTTTATCTTTACCAGTCAGTTTGTAAGAAGTGTCTGGTGAATCTGCTCAGGTTACAAAGGCTGGTGTATGTCCACTTTCCATTCATGAAGTGGTGAACCAATTAATAAATCTGCATTGCTCGTCTTGAGCAGCGCAAGAAGGTATATTCCTGTGGGGCAAGGCTGGGAGCTGGGAAGATTTGGCAGGTGCCTTTCTCGGTGTGATTCACGAGTGGCTCTGGGAGCATTCGTGCAATCTAGCTGGGTGTGGGGCTCCACATGCTGTTGTGCTGAGTGATCACAGCGCCTGGAGGGGGTTTGCTGCTGGTCACTAGCAAGGCACTGTGAGAGACAACCCAGGCTGGAGAGAGTTCAGGGGGCCCAGTGGTCCCACGGTCCCAGGCTGCACCCCGGGGATCCTGTCACAGCGGCGCAGCGCGCAGGGGGAAATACACAGCTGCTTGTACTTAGCAAGATTTGCACTTCAAACACTGGTGCAAAGATTTTAAGTGAGGCTTTAAGTGTGGTGGCTAATGAGCGTTAGGAGGAGGCTACTGGTTTGTTATTTCCTATTTGCTTATTTCAGGAAAGGGAAGTAGGGACAGAAGAGCAGGAAAATGACAGAAAGCAGTGAAGTGATTGCGAAGTTGGAGCTTTTTAGGCTGCAGGTTGCAGAGAAGGAGAGAGAACATCAGAGACTGTTGGAACTGAAAGAACTGGAGACAAAGGAGAAGCGGGAGGAGAGAGAGACAGAGAGTGAAAACACCAACTGGAGCTGCTAGAGAAGCAGAACCAGAACCCCCCGACCCCAGCGATTCCCATCACCCCAAAAATCCACAAATGGGAACACTTATGAGGAGGATGATATTGCTAAGTATCTGAGCACTGTTGAAAGGCCGTGTGCAGTGCGTGAAATCCCTCATGCCAAGAGAGTTCCTACCCTGACTGCACAATTAACTGGTAACGCTCTGAATGCATTCAATGAAATGCCCATTGAGGATGCTTTAGACTATTGTACATTTAAAAACACTGTTTTGCAAAGGTTTCAGATTCCCCCTGAAACGTGTAGAGTTACATTTAGGGGTCTGAAGAGGGATATTGGGATGAGTAATGGGGAATCGGTGAACAAAAAGAAAGATTTGCTGGGAAAGTGGGTGAGGGGCAGAGGTGAGGGCAGGTTGGATCTGGTTGCCCAAGGGCATTTCCTGGGCGTGTGTCAGGCGGATGTGAAGCCGTGTCCATGGGACAAAGACGTAAGGTCTGTGCAGGAGATGGCGTCTCCTGCTGATGCCATTGAACTGACCCAGGCATCTCTTGAAAACAAACCACTGAAAGAGGCTTTGAAGCTGGTGGGACGGGGAGATCCCATTTTATCCCTAGCAAGAGGCTGGGGGGCTGGGAGGCTGGGCACTCACCTCCCCAAAACCAGGCCTCTAACCCTCATCCCAAACCTCCTGGAAGAGCAGAAGAGCCCAGAAGGTGCTATCGGTGTAATTCCACTGATCACCTGAGCAATAGATGCCCTGTGCTGGGAGGAAGCCGGCAACCAATAGCTCATGTTAGTTCTGCTGTCTCAACACAGACCCTCCCCCCCAGGGAAAAACCTGTCATATTGTTTCTGTGAAATTAGCCTCTGCAGAGCCAGACATGGAGCACGTTGAGGTTGTGAGAAGTAATGGCAGGGAATACTTGGGGCAGAGGGATACAGGGGCCCAGATCTCTCTGGTTAAGCAGCGTGTGGTCCCAAAGGCCAGTATGTTGCCTGGCCAAATGGCAGAGATTGTCGGGGTGGGCGGAAGCAGGTTCCTCGTACCACTAGCTGAAATCCATGTGGGGTGGGAAGGGTTGGAAAGTGTTGTGACTGTGGGGGTGATGGAACAGCTCCTCTTCGACCTGCTCCTTGGTAATGATGTTTTCTGTGTCGCTCAGGTTACAGTATTTACCTGCAGCAGGAGGGAGTGTTATGCTGGGACCCCCGAAGGAAAGGGGAAGGTCTCAGGAACTGCTGAGAGAATGGGGGAGAGTCTCCTTGATTCTTCTGCAGCAGGGGGAAGCCACATGCTTCCAGGTAGGGGTGGTGGTTGAGACCAACCCCTGCACTGCAACTGGAGGCAACACCACATGCGGAAGGGATGGGGGTGTGATGCCGGCCAGGGAGAGACGTGTCCAGGTTGTGAGCTGCCAGCCGGTCGCAGCTGAACGCAGAGACAGACCCGGCTCTAGGGAGCAGAGAGCAATGTGTCCCAGAGGAGAGCCCAGAGAAGTGGGAGGGGATCTCAGAAACCACTGAGGTGGGTGAGGATTCCTGTGACTCTGTAACACAGGGAAGCAGGGTGCTCCCAAGTGTGGGAGGGGCTGAGACTGGCTCCTTTCCAGCAGAAGGCAACATGCCCTCAGGCGCAGGGGCAGGAGAGCTGTTGTCCCTGACGTGATTAAGGAAACTGTCCCAGTTGTTAGCTGGCAAAGTTCTGCAGGTGAACAAGGGACAGGCGCCTTCCTAGGGAGCACAGAGAAATGTGTCTTAGCAGGGGGCCCCGAGGAGGGAACTGGGGAAGGAATAGTGGGGTACAGGGATGTCTCCTCACTGGTTACTTGGGAGAGGATGCCCAGGACCAAATGGATGAGTCAGCATCTGATCAGGCCGTTACCCAGGTTTTGAGATGGAACTGTGTCACTGACCTCCTGGAGGGGAGCAGTCACACCTCTCAGGGACAGAGAAAGGGGTGGCGGAGGGGACCCCAATCCAGGTCCTGGCTTTTCAGGATGCTATTTTTGATAAGTTTTTGGAAAGTAATTCAAGTCACCAGTCACTGGGGTATCCATCCTCCAGGCCATTCACTGGCCTTCTGTAACCACAAACTCCCTCGCCCACCACCTTGTTAAACCAGTAACACCCTGGGAAACTGAGTCCTACTGTGACAAACTGGGACTGTTCTTACTGTGGTCTGTGAATGCTGACAGGGGAGTGTGGCTGGGATGGTCTGCATTGGGGGATG